ATTTGAAGTTTACTTTGCTTGTTCAGGCACATCAAGTCTCTGGTTATATCTATTCATTACCTATCTAAACACAGTGTGAAATGAAGGATTCCGTGTACATGTTTAAGAGAAAACAGTCTATGCCTATAATCTGTTTGTGTTATTACATGGGATTAGATAGAACAAATGATAAATGTTCAGTGAAGTGTTTGACTGAAGAATATTTCATTATTGTTTATTTTTAGTTACCTTACAGGACTATGCGTTGTATTCATCTAGATGGTTTGAGATATCTTTGTTTTGAAATATAACTGAAAGTATTTAGGTTTATGTAAGCCTAACAATGCTGTGTGGATAGTATGTATGTATACGTATGGACATTTTTCTGTTTGAACCTATAAACCTAGTGAAGCTTTTTTTTTTTTCATCAATTCTTAAAACTGTCTCTACATCTTATTCTCCCAACACTTACAATCTAAATATATATCCACTTAATTTTATTTGAATAAAAAGGAGTGTGTGTGTAGCGAATACCGTTAACTATCATAAGAAGTTTCAGTATCCTTCACACTGAAGACCCCAGTGATCTGATCTAATCTAAATAAGTGACACAGTTGTTTGGTCTTCTGACAACTCAAATGAAAAAAAGGTGAGTAGCGCTAACCACAGTTTGAGAGATTGACAGTCAATAAGTAGTTATTTCATACATTTATTCCCTTAATGAATTTGAACAAAGCAAGAACTACAGTTTTAGCAGAATAAAATGGTACCGTCTTTTATTTCGTTGCCTTCTCGTCAGCTGCTTACATGGCAAAGACATTATTAAATATATCTACTACAACAATTTTGACATACTTGCACAGAGTTCATTTTAAACAAAATCAATCGATCAATATACGCATACACTAAAATTATACATATATAAATATGCAATATTAAACACTATTCCGAAAAATAATAATCATGCACAATGGAAACTTTTAGCATTTCGCATTAGGAAGAAAGAGAGGTGAAAATATCCAGTTACCTGGGAAAAGTAACATTGATAACCGCTTCTTTCTGGACGCATAAATCAGGTTTCATGCGCTTGATGGAAATGGCTTCAGCAAACTTAAGGAGAATTGAGCTATTTTGCTTATTGATAATTTTGAACGACTTTTCGACGTCCACCTCATGACCCGTGTCGAGGAGATGTCTGGTGATGGCACTGTTTAAAGCATTTGTTCCTTTAGACGTAAGCTTTTGTACATGTTCAGAAAATCGTAGATATGCCCTTCTTTCCGTCCTTCCAATGTAACTGCTACCGCAGATACATATAAATTTGTATATACAGTTGGAGGTAACGTGAGAAGGATATCTATCGATTTTTGATTGCACCAAAGAGCAAGTTGTTCGATAGACGGCAATGAGCTTAGCTGCAGGATAGGTTATGGCTAGTGATGTACTCAGCCTTCTGTTAATCATCGCTGCAATGTTCTCACCTTTATAATCAAGCTGAACGTAGACTGGCTTTTTTCTCACTGTGATTTGTTTTACATTTGTGACTTCAGATCTTCCATACTTGTCGATGAACCTCTGAGGGTACCCATTTCTCTTCAATATATTTTCAAGGAACTCAAACTCCTCCTCTAGTTTCTCTATAGAGCATATTCTCCTTGCTCTATAGTACAGAGTCTTGCCTAGACCACGTTTAAAGCTATTTGGACAAAAGCTATTAAAATGCAAGTATTGTCCTTTCCATGTGGGCTTTCGATAAATTGACTTTTGAAGACTAGCGTCTTCTAGGCGTTCCATGGCGATGTCGGAGAAGCGAAACTTTCCGTCACTTTCGTGTTCCATAGTGAACCCAATATTGGCGTGTGCACCACTGAATAATCTTAGTAAGTGTGAAGCATGACTTTTATATTTGTAGCACTCAGCTGATTGAAATTGTCGAGCCAACTGGAACACTTCAGTTTTTGTAGAAAACTAGACTAACATTCAGTGAATGAGCCTTACCAAAAATATCGTGGAGTGACTGACTAGTGCTGAGAAGCAAACCCCTTATTGTTCTCTAACTAATATCAATGAGTGACCAAACTTGAAACAAATCAAACCTCTACAAACACACCCGAGAAAATTAATCTGATGTTCTCTAATGAGTGACTTGCTACAGGATGGAGTTTCCTGGAGTTCTAGTGAGAAGTCGTGACCGTTGAGGTCCATCCAGACGCCACGTGTGAGGATGGATGTCCCACCAACGATACTGGTTGTCAGTCGCGCTAAACCACGAATTGGTTAAAGTTAAAATTCATCGCCTGGCCACTGAATCGGGTCCCAGTGACTGAATGGTATACGAGCTAGCTTGACTTATAACCGGAAGGTCCTGGGTTCGAGCCCTGGTGGTGGGTGCGTACTGCTGATGATCCCAAAAATAGGATGAAACACCTGTCCAGTACTCCCAGATTTTCAGTGGTTCTCTTACTGATATCAATCCGTGATCACCTCGTAAAAACAAAACTAATCCTTACAAACCAACTATAGAAAATCGTATATATATATATATATATATATATATGCAACATCACGCTCCAGGCCCTCGAATGGAATCCCAATAGGAAGCAATGACGAATTGGTCGTCGGTGCGAGATCGTGTAAGTTGGAGGAGGAGATGGGAGTTTATGCGCAGTCGTGGAGCTAGCCATGTGAAGAGGACAGCAGGGAATAGAAGAAAGTGGAGATGCGTTTTTGAGGTTGCATGTTCCACTCGGAACCCCAGGGAATAATAATAATATTATTATAATATATAAAATGATGTACAGGTTGACAGAAAGTTCATCTCAGAGAAATTCAATTTCGTTTTCAATTTGTTTGGAGTACAGACCACAGAGATTTATGCAAGCCTTTTGAAATGATCCCACTAACGGTAACCACCTCTGATAGACCACTTTTATAGAATTAGGAAGTAAAAAGTATTATAAAGTCTTCTTGAATATCTTCACCAACAACAAGGTATCTTTTAGCGATAGTCTAGCGTTTGAGCTGTGATTAAGTAGACTTATGTGAATACGGCAATTGTCTTTCATCTGATAGAAACTCAGTACATCTTGATGAATATCCATTGGATGATGGTGAATAGAGGATCCCGGCTTTGGATTCACCAGGAAAGAGATACTGTAAGAGCAGCTTACTTGATAGCTACCAATGTACCTGTTAAATACTAGTCAATTATTAAAGCCAGTACACTAAGTTTTCACTTTAACAACTTGAATAAATGACACGACTCAATTTGCTTTATACTGAATTTTAGGAACCCATGGAAAAGTGATATTAGGCCAGATTTTAGTGGTTTTTTTATAGAGGTCATAAATTTGGTGAATCTGTGAACTAGGGAGTGGGGCGGGGGGGGGAATTACCTATTGTTTAACTGATGCTGTATAAGATTGAATTCATCAATTCAATTAATTGATTAAATTTATATTCACAGATCTTTTATTCAGTCAATTACGACGAACTGTACTAACCTTTATTTATTCAGAATAACTAGATATGAATACCCGAGAGATTCTATTGTTCATTTGAAGATGAAATTAAGCATACTGATTATCTATCTGTCAAGATTGTATTTATAACTACTTTATTTTTACGAGTAGATCACGGATTGATATCAGCTAGAGAACCATTGAAAACCAGGGCGTACTGTTAGACAGCTGTTTCATCCTAGCTTGAGAATCATCGGCAGTACGCACTCATCACCAGGGTTCGAACCCAGGACCTTCCGGTTACAAGGCCAGCAAGCTCGTATACCATTCAGCCATTGTGACCGTGATCAACTCGTAAAGACAAATTTAATCCTTACAAACCAACTCCTGAAAATTAATTTGATGCTCGCTAGTAACTTGATACAGGATGGAGTTTCCTGGAGTTCTAGTGAGAAGTCATGACTAGTGAGAAACACCCAGTCAAGTCAGAAGATGGATGCCCCACCGTCGACATTGGTCAGGATCGCGCTAAATCACGAATTGGTAGAAGTAAGGGTTCATAAGGTGGCCATTAAATTGACTCTCAGGGGCTGAATGGTATACGAGCTTGCCTTATAACCGAAAGGTCCTGGGTTCGAACCCTGGCGGTGAATGCGTATTACCAATGATTTTCAAATTAGGATGAAACAGCTGTCTAGCAATATTCCTTGGTTTTCAATGGTTCTCTAACTTATATCAATCCGTGATCAATTCGTAAAAACAAAATTAATCCCTACAAACCACCTTTAAAAAGTACTAATTTATGTACATTTTATGAATTATACAGATAAATGTGGTCTCTAATCAGTAATTTTGAAATGAGGCAGTGTTTGGTGAAAGCAGTACATTATTTTCAAAATATTATTTGGGATCATGTGATGAAATCTGAAAGATATTTTGGAATAATCCTAAACGTCGTGGCCTGTTTGATCTATGATGTCGGGTATGAGGCGGACACGCTCATAAAAGGCATTATTTTGTGGAAGCACAGCTAAACATTCCGAAATAATGGCTGAACAGTAAACTTACTGGGCTTGTAACCTAATAACCCTAGATTCCATCCTTGGTGAGTTAATCGGTATGTGCTGGTGAAGAGTCCGGGACTGGGAGGAAGCTTCTGTCTAATCCTCCTTGGTTTTATTAGTTCTCTAACTGGTGTTGATTAATGCCAAAACTGACAATGAAATTACTCAAAAACCCCAAGAACCCGAAAAGGCTAAATGCACGTATGAGGCTTTTGGGAGTATTTTTCAAAACTAATAATCGATTTCTTTTAAATTATATTCACTAATATCATTTATATCAAAACAGTGATACCCTTGGTAGCCGTTGATGCAGTTCTCAGAATGATCTTAAAGAATGAATTATTACAAGCGCCTTATGTTTAATTCCTTTTGCCATCTAGATTCATATTTGCGAATAAAACTAAGACACAGATGAAGTAAACACTTATACGGCTTAATTTATTCCTTGTAACGCCTAAATGATCACTATTTTTATGTACATCATTTATGCATTTAGGTCTTCATACAGGTCCAGCTGTTGCTGGTGTTGTTGGTGTAAAAATGCCACGTTATTGTTTATTTGGCAGTACAGTGACAACTTCAGAAATAATGGAACAAACAAGTTCAGTAAGTTTATGATTTTGGCTTTTGAAAAGTAAATAAAAAGTATATATTGATGTTATTTGGTGAATGGTGACTAGCAGTGGAATCCAAGATGTACGTTTCATCCTATTCGGGACTCGTCATCTAGATATACCTACAGACATCCTGAGAGCCACCTTTCTTGCAACGAGGATTAGTTATTGTTTTGTCTATTGTTAGTTTTTGTTTGTCCCGTTGACTAAATGAACCGAAATGCTCTGCTTCTTTTGACATTGTCAACTTCCAGCAAGCAACAATCAGTTTATAACGCATTTAGGTACACTCCTGACTAGCTAGGCCCCAGGAAGTACTGCCCTACTTCAATCTGGTCAATATACACTACACTCTGAGCCTAGCAGTTTCTCATTACTCGTCTCAACCAGTCAGTAGTACTTAACATCATAAGTTTATGCCAGCTGTCTCAATCACCATTGATGATGTCAAGGAGACGATATATCGTGATCTGAACATTTCGAATTTTCAAAGGAAACCGTGATGAATATTTGCCAAGAACTGCTTAATTTATAGATGGCGCATTTGAGTTTAGCCATTGTCTTAGTTTCACATTGTTACGTGAAGCGAAATAGGCATTTTTGTAAACTGTTTGCTGATGCAACGTATATTTTACTCTCATGTTTATCTGTGTACAATTTTACAACTTTTTGCATCCAGGAAGGAAGAAATTTTTACCAGATAATTCATGTGATAAGATTTATTTTCGATTCATTATGTCTAAAAATTAGTTTTAGCGTTATTGCTTTCTCTGAGTTGAAAAGCTTAACTGAAAAGCTTTCATCGTCTTTCTAAATAACTTGTTTAACGCTAAGGTGAAAACGAGAACTTTCATTTTTATCACTACTTGACTTCAGTTATACAGCTTATTGAATTTCCGTTGTTTGATTATCTGGTTCTCAGGAGTAAACCACAAGATTATTTGGTGTAGTTTATAAATGCTGAAATACATTAAACCTCATTTACAAAGGAAGAAATAAGATCTAATTTGGTTTTAACTTTTTCATTCTCTTTGTCATAACAGTTTTAAAATATTTTGAAAAATATTCTGTTGTTCGAGTGACAATTCTAATTAATAATTGCCACTGATAGATGGAGACTGAGTAAAAAGAACGTGATCAAATATTTTATTTTAAGTCTGACCAAGGAACTAATATCAGTTACAAAAGCATTGAATACTAGGGATTAATGGACACCAGTTTCGTCCTAGTTTGAAATTCTTCAGTAGTGTGAACCCATGATCTCAGAACCTTCAGGTTACGTGGTTAGTTCCTGACCATTCAACCCCTGAGACGAAATCTAATGGCTCATGAATTTTAAATTATGTCAGTCTGTGAGCCCGCCTAAGTGTCTTAGGTTTGATGCCTGTTGAGGTCATGGGTGTGTAGTGCTGAGGAGTTTCGAACTGTGAGGAAACAGTCGTCCAGTTCTTCCTGATGGTTTTCAATGGTTCTTTAATGGATATAAATCCATGGTCAAACTTGAGACCAATCAAATTTGAAGAAACTAACAATTAAAGATATTTTATTCACATTCATTATCAAATTCACACGGAGGAGTGTTTTTAGTACATATCTGTATCAATTCCTTTAATTTTAAAGGTATCAACTTCAAGTATTACTGAAAAACAGTGGACTGTAATATCATTGAGATCACAGCTACTTCCGACATAGTGTTATCAGGATACAGCAAGTCATGTGAATGACACTTCAGGATTACCAATGATCACCCAGCCAGTATAAATTGACTGAGAAACTAATTCCCAGTTGATTTTATTGTTAAAACAGTTAAATTAAATTTAAAAACCACTCAGTAAGCATGTTGAAAGGTAAAACATATCAGGAGCAATGTTCACACAGTCATTGAATATGGATTTAGATGTGCTTTAAAGGAAATAAAAATATTCCATTCGTTTCGGATTTTTTTTGTAGCCTTGCATAACTTTCATATTTATTAAATTTCAGACAGTATATTGAAGGAAAAATTTAAAAATAGTGTAAGTTTTAGCAGAGATTACATTTGCCTGCTTATATAACACAATTGTGAAGGTTGGATTTAAGCGAAAATCCTCAGAAAAATACAATGCAAATGATATTTTCGATTCAGAAAATTGACTGATTGATTGATGATAAATTTTGTTCAGAAGATATGGATATATGTTACTAAACTTAAGAAATCGCATATTTTATAGATAATTTTCATGTTTAGAGTCTTTTCAGAAGTTTATAAATGAACTGAGATTGGGAAGTATTTGTTGTTTTATAAGCGACGAATAGCAGTTGAATCTAAGGTGCACGTCTAATTTCTATTGACTATTTGAGAAACAACCTCCTTTACCTATCTGAGAAGCATCGTTTCAACTACAGGCTGAACTGACGAGGATATTAAAGCCGGAATCGGTAAAGCAAGACAAACTTTCATTACTCTCAAGTCTGTGTGGATGTCAACAGCACTCAGCATGAAATTGTAAATAAGAACCGGATTTTCAACTCCAATGTGAAGTCAGTGCTACTTAACACGCGGATCAGAGTCTCGGTGCGTCATAAACAGCATCTCAAACAAACTACAGACTTTCATTAACAGTTGTCTTCGCTCAATACTCAAGATCAGATGGCCGGGGAGAAAAGATCAGCAAAAATGATCTCTGGGGGCGAACCAACCAGGAACCAATTGTGAAACAAATATGCAGGAAGAAATGGAGATGGATTGGCCATACTCTGAGGAAACCATCAAGTGACATCACTAGACAAGCCATCGCTCGAGTGGGACCCTATCGAATGGAAAGCGGCGAGTTGGTCGTCCGAGGGTGACTTGGAGGAAGTCATGTGAAGAGGGATGAAAGCATGTGGACAGACTTGAAGCGGGGTGAAAACGTTGGCAGAGAACCGAACGCAATAAAGACTTGGGCGGCTGAAGCCCTATGTTCCTCTAGGAATTAAAGGAAATAATAATTTGATAGTTGAGCTTGTTTGTTTCTCAGTTTTGATGTCGTCATTCAAATTTACTCGTAATGTCTCACGATATCTTACTTATACCTGGTAGTCTAATGAATAGTGTTACGATAATCTGATTATTGATTTTTAATGATGATTCTAATGTTCTGAGATGCAGATCTTCAGGAATGTATGTGTATAACCCAGGCACTGTGGTAGAATGCAATTTCATATTAGTTTTTATATCAACAGCTGTCTTCACCAATACTACTGAAGATCACATGGCCAGCCAGGAAAGATCAGCAACAGGGAGGGGTCTCTGGGAGCAAACCGACCCAGGAGGAACCAGTTATGCAACAAATATGCAGGGAGAAATGGAAGTGTATTGGCCATACTCTGATAAAACAAACCATCAAGTGACATCACAAGACAGGCCCTCAAGTGGAACCTGAAGGGGAAGTTGCGAGTTGGTTGTCCAAGGGTTACGTATAAGAGGTCATGTGAGGAAAAGATAAAAGTATGTGGGCAGACATGGAGCCAGGTGAAAACGTTGGCAGAGAACCGAACGCAATGGAGGCGTGCGACTGAAGCCCTATGTTCTTCTAGGAACTAAAATTATTATTTTTTTTTTTTTTGCAATAATAACAATACGTTTATTTGATGACCTTTCAAGGACAGTTTATTATTCATAATCACGTCAATTTCTTCACACGGCTGCATAATTTGGTTTATATATATATATATATATATTCTGTTCCTCTCCCTTGTTGTTTGTTGCGATTTTCTGTATATTCGGTATTTCAACTGCACATGCTCATGGTTGAATCGATAAACAAAAATTCTGTGACTTGCATCTCTCTCTTTACTTAACCATACTACCTCCTAATACTTTCACCCTGCGCTATTCTATTTGGTGATGCCCTTTTCTCCTTTTCATTCCTTTGTGTTCTTAGTGGAACATCGAGCTTCAAGTTTTAGGCTTTGAAACTAAGACAGTAGGGGTGTCTATTTTCACAGGGTTGGGTTGTTAGTCCCGGGTGTCGAACCTCCCCGCTGTACTGCGCTTACTACTAGCTAAGCGAGGTTTAGGAGTGCATCGGCTGGCAGTGGAACCCAGAGCGTGTGCGTGACTGGCGAGCATTCTAACACCGGCGCATGGGATACCGATAGATTCAGTGAATAAGCGACAAACAGAACGATGTTTGGCTCTGTAATCTTACAATCATCTTTTATCATGACATGACATATTTATGAAACGGCTCTTTTATACAACTTGTTCAGAATGTTTAGCTTTCAAAATGCTCAAGTGGTTTATTTACTAGTCGTCATCTACAATTCCTACTGAGGTTCATGCAGGTAATTTGGCTAATCGTAATTAGTCCTAACAGTATGAACACTAATCAATAAAAATTCAGTTATTTGAAATATTCAGTGAATACATCATATTTGGATCTTCTGGTTGGGGCCCTAGGGATGCTAAAAACCAGTAGCTGGAGATTATTGATGATACGGTCCAAAATCTTTGTTAGTGGCACAGATGCATTCAGTCTTTGTGATCTCTTATATCCGTTAAACTCTTGGGTTCTTCCATGTTGTTACTGTTCTTTCTCCGGAATATTTCTGCTCACTATAACTCTTAGAGGAACGGATTTTCAGCAAAAATATGAAGTCAACCGCTGCTTCTATACGGGTCAGAAATTTGCACTGCGTGTCAGTCACGAAAAGGATTTCCAGCAAGTTACAGACCCTATCAACAGCTATCTTCTCTGGCTGCATGCTGAAGATAAAATCGTCAGCCAGAAAGAATTAGGATCAAGAAACTCTGGGGGGGTGACAAACCAACCAAGAGTTAATTGGTCAAAAAATGTGTAGGATTTCATACAATTCTTCCCATTAATAAAATTGAATAAATCAAGAATGAAAAATGTACCAGGATAGTCTGAACTAGTGTTTTTATTTTTATTTTTTCGTGGATTCTTCCCATCTGTTTACGGCCTGAACAATACTAAAATTATAAATTAAATTAGAGATCTAAAAATG